TGATTCATTCACTGAAAATCTTTTATTTGAGACACCTTTCACAGATTTTTTTTTGTCACTTCTTTTGCTTTCTGCCTTGTTTACTGTTCTCCCTTTACCCAGATTATCAACATTATCATTTTACTAATGTGAAAGAATACCTAGTTGTCTACCTAAATATAGTTATATAACCATGTGTGGCAGGGCACCTTTGGTGCCCACCACTTTAAGGGGCTGGAGCAGGCTGTAGAGCAGCCAACAGTTGCAGCCGGGCCCAATTAGTCAGTCACATAACTGCAAGAGGGATCCTAGATTGGAGAAGAGCTGGGCAGCCTCAGCATAAGACCAGGCCTTAAGAGCTGAGCCAGCAGTTACATCTAGGGAGCCAGAGGAACAACATAATTCAGCCTGCAGACTGCAGCTCCCAGAACACCTGGAGGTCAGGGTAAGAACTATGGGGATAGAGGAGGTTCCTGGTCCTGGGACATAACCTGAAACTAAAATGCTCCATTTGGGGAGAAATAATCCACAACGCACTTATAGGCTCAGCAGTGCTATGCTTGCTAGCACCACATTTGAACAAGACATGGGTGTTGTGATAGGCAACAAAATGAACATGAGCCATCAATGCTATGCTGTAGCTGGCAAAGCTAATCAAACACTGGCTTGCATCTACTGAGGTATCTCAAGCAAGACTAAGAATGTCATCCTCCCTCTCTACTCAGGCTTGGTGAGACCACAGAGTTCTGCATCCAGTTCTTGGCATCACACTTCAGGAAAGATGTGGAGAAGCTCAAGAGAGTCCAAAGGAGGGCCACACACATGATTAGAGACCAGGTCATATAACGTGAAGCTGAAGGACTTGGGACTGTTCAGCCTGGAGAAGAGAAAACTCAGAGGGGACTTGGTGGCAGCTTATAAGTATATCAAGGGTGTACATCAGGGCCTGGGGAGCATCTGTTCACCAAGGCCCCCCAGGGGAGGGCAAGAAATAATGGGCAAAAGCTGATTGAGGATCACTTCAGGATAGACATAAAGAAAAACTTCTTTACAAGTTGGGTGCCAAGGGTTTGGAACAGGCTCCCCCTCAGATATGGTACAGTCATCCACCCTGGCGCTCTTCAAAAAGCATCTTGATGCCCATCTTGCTGGGGTCATCTGATCCCAACAGTCTTTCCTGCGCAAGCGCAGAAGGGATGGACCTAATGATCTATAAGGTCCCTTCCAGACCCACACAACTATGAAACTATGAAAGTACACCCTGCTAGGTTTAGATGGTGTGGTGGGGCTGGCTGTGGTGGAGCAGTCTCCAGGAAATGTCATACCTGTGCCTCACCAGTGAAAGGCAAGGATGGGGTGCCAGAAAGCCTCAGTCCCTACTGCCTTGGGTAACCTGTGGAGTGGAAAGGCTAGGGAAGCACACCCCGACAGAAAAGCACAGGGCCCAGGTCCATTGAATGGGGTCTGAGGCAAGGTCCAGACATGTTGACAAACATCTGAGGACCAAGGGGCATAACGGCCAGGAGCCTAGTGAGGCATGGAGTAGTGCCCCAGAGAGGGTCCAGAGACCAAGTTCAGCCCAGTGTGGAACAGAGAGCCAGAGGCCGCATCGACTTGGGTCTGTGGGGGCCTGAAGGACTGTGCATAGACTGACTGGAGTAGAGGTAGCCAGAGGCTGCATACAGTAGGGTCCATGGGGGCCTGAAGGACTGAGTGTAGGCTGGCCAGAGTAGAGGCTCCAGTGGGGAGGCATGTGGCCCAGATATGTCTGAGGATGCCTAAGGCCAAGTTTGGGCCAGAGGCTGAGTGCAGGCCACCTACGGGGCCAGGGGAGTAATAGTGGATCTGGATGCCATCTGCAAGGCATGGGACATGGTGTAAGGGGAGGTTCAGAGCCATGTATTTGGCCCTTGGCATCGGGGAAATAAAATGGGCAGCCTCCCACATTTTCTATCTATTTGATACATCAAGGCATGGCAGGAAAGGCAGGGCAGACTTCCCTAGACAGGTGGGTGGACCAATGTCGTGACCGGCCTTGAGTCGGCCCCATCACATAATGTCAGACCAAAAACATGCCCTTGAGACTTTTGCATCTGGAGCTGTTTGGCAAGATGTCTACCATCTTCTCATACTATAAAATCAAGTTAATTCCTTGAGATCCATACACTGTAACTATTTAATATAGAAAAATCTAATAGAGCAAGAATAGTTGCTTCATTAAAACAAAGAGAAAATTAGATCTCACTCTCACAGACAAAGGACTTCAAACATTTCCTTGGCTCAGTCTAATTCCCAAGTTACTTCCCCTTTTATATTCATAACACTAATGAGATATGTAATCAGATAAAAGTAATCAACCTCTTGAACAAATGACAGTTTTACTCATATTCTTTGCTATACCTTAAGGATTATTCCCTCAGTCCATCAGCATAACCTAACTGGATGAAGCTTTCCTTTTCACTTCCTCTCTGAAGCTGATGTGTATTATTGTTGTCTTAACTTTAGGAACTACTCTATTTATCTCTTGAGCAGGATATTTCAAGGCTATATAATCTGTTTAGTAGTAATTTTTTATGAAGGTTTCTTTTAGCAAAAAGTAGCTCTGACATACAAGGCATTCTAGAAATAAGACATTATTAATGCACTAAACTTACCTGTTATGAAAGCAATGTGCAGCTGACACTACCCAACAAGAATGAATTAGGCTCCCAGAACAGAAGCTATTTCCTATATATAAGGCTGCTAGCCATGGGTGAGACCCTGGCAAAGAAGAAGATCCCCCAATAATCCTAGGTCTTATAAAAATTCGCTTTTTGTGTCTTCTCCCACAAGCTCTTCTGACAACTGCAAAAGTCTCCACATTATCTGCAGGTGACGGCATCCTTCCCTTGCTTCCTGAAATATAAAATGAAAGTATCACACTGCATATATTTAGGATGTCTAAAACTGACATTTTCATAGAAGCCTAAAGGAATTTATGACCTATTCTACCTATTAGGCAACTAATGAACAGACAGATATCACATTTGTCCCAGGAGAAATATGTCAGCTCAGGACAAATAGGGTGGAATGAGGATCACACTTGGTCACCTAAGTTCAACAGCCTTTAGTGTCCTCTTCCTTTTCACTTTCAGTCTGAATTTCATGCAGAGAAACTGCATGATTGAGGACCTCATTCCAATTCCAGACCCTTCATTGCTGGGAGAGACTGGTGATGATTCATATGACAGAAATACTGTATCGTAGAATCACTGAAAATTGGGGTTGGAAGGGATCTCAGGAGGTCATCTAGTCCAACCCCTTCCTCAAAGCTGGACCACCCCAAATACATCACTCCAGCCAGGGCTTTGTCAAGCAAGGTCTTAAAAACCTCCAAGGATGGAGATTTCACCACCTCTCTAGGTAACCTGGTTCCACAGCTTCACCACCCTCCTAGCGAGAGAGTTCTTACCTAACCAACCTAAACTTCCCTTACTGCAATGTGAGACAATTGCTTCTTATTCTGTTATTTGCCACCACTGAGAACAGTCTAGGCTTCATACTCTTTTAACCACCCTTCAGGTAGTTAAAGTTTGCTATCAAATCCCACCTCAGTCTTCTCTTCTACAGACTAAATGAACCCAGGTCCCTCATCCTCTCATAAATCATGTGCCCCAGCCCCCTAACCATTTAACCATTTTCATTGCCCTTAATTTTCAGATATCAAGCAGAGTATGTAGCTCTGACAGGGTGAGAAAAAAAAAACCTGCTTCAATTTTTTTAGTCAGTGGAAACTATTTAAATAACTGAAAGGTCATTTTACATCTTGTCTTTCCAGATTACCCACTATTTAAATGCACCTTCATATCAAGTAATATTCATGGTAATTAAATAAGAATTGATAGAAAGAACAGACTCTTGATTTTTCAAATTCATTTACTATAGAGCAATGTTTAGTTTAAACTACTGGAAGAAGAGTCAATGAGTGCAAGGATGTGCTAATTTAGGGTCTGATCCTGCTACCTTTACTTTTACACAGTGTCCCATTGACTTGTAAGGACTTGCTTTGGTAAGGATTATTTGTGTAAATATGTAGATGTGCGGGTCGGGAGCGATCCGGGTCCTTTTTCACGCCGCGCGGGCTGTGGCCAGCAGCCCGGGCACGCTGGGTCAGAGAAAGCAGGCGACACGCTAGAATTAGGCACGGACGCGTAATGGTTGATTCAAGATTGTTTACTTACACCGAAGATGGTCGCGGTGTAGGCTGGACAGTTTCCCAGGCAAAGCTCCGCTTAAATCCCCAGTTTGAGGACTCAGACTATACTCGGATCACTCACACGGAGTTGTCGAGGCTCCGTGGGTCCTTTTGCGCGCAGGGAAGAGGGATACGTTGAGGATTGCGCTCAGTGACGGGGAGAGGCTAGAGGCTGATCAGACCCCTGTTGCCTTCTTTGAATACGCTGGGTCCAATAGGCTCCGCAGCGCTTAGAGATCTTCACGAGACGTGAAGTCTCCTCCTCCTGATGTTCGTGGCGTCCTCCAACTTGGGCGGAAACCACTCAGCCCTTTAATCGGCCAAAAAGGCCAATCGCTAGCTGCCACGTGGGAATATTTTAACACAAGCCAATAATGGGGCTCGAATTTTAAAACAAATGGCGGGAACTCTTTGCACCGTGCATCTCTGTGCTGCAAAAAAGAAATGCACCCTGCAAAGAAAGCTCCAAAACGGCGGGAAAATAATTCAGTGGTGCCAAAGCACACACAAAACAAAATCACACCCTTGGGTTGTGACAGTAGACAAATGCTTATCAAGGATGATAAGCATTAGAAAGCAATTTAGAAGAAATTACAAGATTACATTTACCTACCACAAGATGGAATGTTACAATATTCCCAAGACAAAGTATTGTCCTTCAGGATGTAGCACCAGGGCCTCTCATCATTATCTGGATTCCTGATAAGAGAATACACCAAAATCATCGTCCAGAACTGTACTTAATGCTGCACTAACATCAACTGTTTCACTCTTGCTTCATCCATAGGATTGATTCTCCAAGGATCTGAGCAACTTGAACTTGATCCACCGAAGTGTGCAAGCATGTGTTTTCTCAATGATTTCAACATGGCTACTCCTGTGCTTTAAGTTAAGTGTATGCTGAAGGCAGATTTTTAACATTATCTAGAGGTCTAAACAATTTTCAATCTGACCTCAAGTACTTTGCTGGATAAGAACACTCAGGTAGTTTAATTTGGCTGGACAAGGTTCTTTGGGTAAATCTGATATCTTTTATTAGACCAGCTCAAATAGTTGGAAAAATTCTTCTTTGCAAGCTTTCAGGTACAAATACCCTTCGTCAGCTTTAGTTGCACACTTTGCCATATTTGGGACAGAGGGCTTAACTCTTTGCTTTAGCAAGCCCTCAAGCAAGCCCGTTGAGTTCATTATGTAAATGGAAAAACTCAGACTTGCATGTTGCTTCAGTCCAAGAGTTGGACACCAAGGGCCAGTGGACTTAGGCAACCAGGTGTGATCCCTTCCTATCCACTCAAGACCCTGAAAACACAGCGAGTGTATGGATCCTCCCGCTCACTGCTTTTTGTGACTTAGTCTTAAGCCGCAAAGCTGTGGCTCACCAACCTGATTAAGGGCACATAGAAATCAGTAGCAAAACAACCAGCAATTAAGAATTAGATGGGCCAGCTTGTATTCAGACCATTGGACCACCCTGTCAGCAAGAAAAGGATGGAACTATGCAGATTAATTTAGGCCTCAATTACACCACTGTTAATCTGGAGTCTAAAGAACTATAGTATTAATATTTTGTCCATCCTGCAGAAGTAACTAGAAATATGCCTGATTTACCGATTCTATAATAGAAATTCTGTTTGTGTTTTAAGTTGTTTAAAAATTCTCTGTATAAATCATATAAATAAATAAAAGATCAACTTTCAAAGCTTCAAAAAGGTCTTCATGATAATCAAAAACAAAGACGTGTGACTCAGGTAAACAAGGACCATAGGTGGTGGAAGGTTGGAGCTAACAGGGCTTAGCCCCCACCAAACGCAGGCAGCCCAGGTGCAGGCACAGGCTCTGGGCAGCTGCAGCAGGGTGGGGAGGTGCGCACAGACAGAGATGAGCAGCCAGAGCCTGCAGGTGGCCAGGAACTCAATCTGACCCAGCCACATGTGGAGCAGCGCCCCGCAAGTAAATGTGTGGGTGGGAAGGGGCGCAGAGAAGGGAAGAGGAATGGGGGGCGCGTGAATGGGGCCCTGGGGCAGGTTGTGGAGTGTTTGCTGCCTGGGCAGCTCATCCAAGGGCATGGGGGGGCAGAAAGGGGGGCTCCCGTCTGCTGCCCGCATCCCCAAGGCAAGCACAGAGGAGATGTGCCCCCCCAATCTGTGCTGTGAGTCAGCAGGGGGGGCCTGCCACTGTGGGCTGCACTCTGTACCCCACTGCTAGTAGCCCAGCAGCTACGTGATGCCACGCAATTCCTACCACTGGGCAGACAGTGTAGCCAGTGCGCAGGAGGCATGTGGCATTGCACTGCTCCTGGAGCACCAGCAGTGGGGTGCAGACCCCAGCCCGCAGCAGCAGCCTGCCTCCATCCCGCACTCAGATCAGGGGACACGTGCCCCTATGCCTACCCCAGGGTTGCCCGCAGTGGTGGAAACCACCCCCCCCCCCCCCCCACACCCCCCCCCCCTCCCATACCCCCCCCCCCACACACACAAACACACCCCGGGGTGCGCACCCCCCCCCCCCCCCCCCCAGACAAGCCTCCCACGCAGTGAGCGTCCCACAACCCACTCCAGCCCCCGGGGCCCCATTCACCCTAGCCCTCGACCCTGTCTCTGCACCACTCCCTCCCTCACCTCAGGGACCTCAATCTGCCCCCCCCCCCCAAAGCTCCTTCCCTGAACAGACTTCCTTGCTGGAGGGAAGGGGAGGGGGGTGTGCTCACACACACAGTCCTCCCAAAATCATGTTTTCTTCCTCCACCTATGACAAGGGCTTGTAGCCCAGACATGATTTATCAAAAGCTATATGCATTCTTTTTAAGGTTCTTCCATCTTGCTACAACCTGTAAGGCCTCAGGTATTTTTAAATTCTTACAACAGAAGTAGCACCATGGGTTGAGTCATCTCCCCACGGCAATGTTCCTAGATTAGAGTGTTTGAACAATATATCTGTGGTTTTACATTGTGCTGGTGATGCCCATCAACATATTTTAAAAAATAATAAAACTGAAAAGGGGACTTCACGGTTTCTTGTTTGCACTATAATGAACATGATCAGACGAGCTCCTACACTGATACATAGTTTTTCTCTTGTGTTTAAATCTTTATGTCAATATTGTACTTAAAGGGGACAAATGAAGAAAGTCTGAACTCAGCAAAGCACTTAAGCACGCTTATGTCTCACTAAAGTCAAATTGGCTTGATTTCTAGAGCTGGACCCCGATTCACTGAAGTGTTTAATAAAAGGCTTTGCTGAATAGGGACGCTTCCAAGTTAATTTTAAGTGTATGCTGAATCTGGGCCCAGCTCTGGATACCAAAGCCATTTGGAT